AGTTTACCTCTCTTATCTACAGCCTGACTTTTCAGCTTATCCCACGCAGTAATTGAGGCGTCATACTTGCCTTGTATAGTGTTTTGCGAATAGGGATGCTTCTGTGCAAGCGCCTTAGCATCATCTCCAAGTTGAACAATCCTTTTATCTGGGGCAGTCAAATCCCTTTCTAATTCTTCGTGCTCCCTTTGTAAGGCTTGGACTGAGGCAAGATCACGACCACAGTCCCCAATGGATAAAGGAATGGACTTTTCATTCACCCACGATATAGCTCTACCTATGTCTCTAAAGAAGCACTGTATCTCATAGGCTTCCAGGCGCTTTCCTTATCGTTTTCTAGCCAGATCCTTCAGACGTTCCAGAGCTTCGCGTACCTTTCTGGACTTTTCTATGACCAGGGCATCCTCAGGAAATTCCTCTTTTAGAAGTTCATCTGCCTTCCAATAGATATCTTCTGCGCGAATTTCTTGATACTCGAGATCCTTTACAACCTCATCAAACTTTTTTTGAAGTGTCTCAACATGTTCCAAGTCTTGACCGAAATCCTCTGATGTTACGTAAGTTTCTTTTTCACGTATCCAGAAAAGTATCTCCTCGACTTGGCATAAAAACTGGACAAATTTAAGCGTCAGGCTAATAAGACGTGATTTTTCTCTGGAAATAGCCATAAGCCTTTCCCACAAGGCATGCACTTCATCAAGACGGTTTTTGATAATGTCTGTTGCGTAGTGCTCCTGACCAATCGTTTCTTCTCCCGCAGAATCCAGAGCTGACAGTGTTTCAGCATGAACTGTTACTTCGAACTCAAACTGTTGATGTTTCTGTTTTTTTTCAGCTGAAGATTACTGAGTTCATTAAAATCCTCATTTGCATATGTTTGCAGTTTTTCATTGATCCAACACTCAAGTTCATCGGCATCTCTCTTAAAATATTTATGTCTTTTAAGCATATCCAGAAACTTAGATGTGTTTCTGGCAAACTCATCATTAAGAGATACAGCGACTTTATGAGAAGTAGAAGGTTTGTAAGGCGATTTATTGTGACCAGAACATTCGCGACTACCTTGTCGTAATCCTTCTAATTCCATTTCTTTCTCTATTTGGACTATGCGCAATTTGGCTAGCTCCAATTCTACCATATAGTGTGATTTATTCTCGTTGCTTCCAGGGAAATCAGCTTCATTACTTTTTTCTAACTGTGGAGTTAACGACGGCATAGTTTCATAACTTTCGTCTGCCATACTGTTCGAAACTTTGTAGGATTATTTTTGTCCTACATATTTAGTCCTTCCTCAATACTGACGACACAGAGTCTTGGCTTAGCTATAGTTAAAACACAATGACTTGACTTAAACTTTATCTGTTTCTAAAACATAAAATAAATCATACAATTACACCAAGAAAATTAAAGAAATCCACTGTCATTCAAAAAAAGGACAAAAACGTACCGAACAGTATTGGAGGAACGGACAAAATGAACACTTAATTAATTACATGTACACACAAATAAAGTGACAGACAACAAAGAACACTCAAGGTGAGTTACAATAAATTGTCCAATAATCGCGACAAGAAGGTCACATCACATTGATTAGCTGTCTATCATATAGTCTATCTATCTGTCGCGATTAACACAGATAAAGTGGAAAGCAGAGAACAATATAAAGTGGAGATGTGCTGCTGAAGCCCTATTTTCCACTGGGAACCCACGGAATGTTATCAATAATACTAACAGTATTCGAGATACTTAGATTTAGGCTATTAAATATGTTAAAGGACTTCCTCACATGTGTGTGGATGAAGCGATAATAGCCCATTATGCCATCTTAGAACGCATTGCCATCGTAAGATCTTCAGGAGTATTTAGGAGGGCTCAAAATACTTCCACCACTGCTTGTAGATCTCACATTGGATCGCAGTAGTCCACCGTGCTTCTATTCAACTGAAATATTTGAGTTTAGTCAGGAACAGCTTTAAAGAATGAATGACTTGGGTAGACTGATCAAGTGCTGAAGCTTTATGTTATCGGGATAAGCGATGGACGTGTTTCGTAACGAAGCGCTGAGGTAATATGCTGCCGGATTTCATTAGTGCACTGATTGCTAAAGCATTAAATTGCAAGTAAGAAAAATTTATTATTAAATGGCTTGTTCTTCTCCCGAAATGATAAGCATTGTGGTTCGTTATGATGGGATTTTATACATTTGAATTTTGAAAAGATCATTAATGGACACGACTGACGATGATTAGGTCCAAGCAAAGCTACTTTTCCCCAACAGTCAGCTCACAGACTAGACACTTGAAAGACTTTTAAGCCGTAAAACTGATAGGCTAGTTTATGATCGAAGTGTTAGCCTAGCGCATAATTGATGCGGCATAAATCATACATACAGATACATGACATCATATATTTTTTCATATCAGCAAATATTTTACATGTGACGTATGACATTTTACAGAGGCGGTGAAACATGATCAAACTTTATCTTGTAAAATTTTGTAAAATCTTCGGTGTTGCGACTGTTAAAATAGTCGATTTTTAACACAGTTTATAAAAATCATGCCATTTTGACCCAAAATGTTAAAGCACTCGTCAGAATTGGCAGGCATCTCAAATTTCGTTTGTTTTTCTACGGATACTTTTACTAATTAGTCAGACTTCTCAATCATGCGTAAGTGAGAGATATTTCAGGGAGAAAAGGATTTCTGGGAAGCAGTGAGATAGCAGAAAATATACTTTTAATATATTGCTAAAAATACGTTTACATGGATAGAATATATATTATTATATGATTACTGATAACAAGCAGCAGCACAATCCTTAGAATGATAGTCAGCAAATGCAGTACTTGTCGTCAACCATTTTGGTGTCATTGTTAAAGACACGCAGTATTAGGAAAAATGTCATATTATTTCTGCACATCCGAATCACGAAGGGGAAGCAGGTATGAATGAAATAATTAAGCGCTAATTAGGTGACGAGCTTCGATAAATAGAATTAATTGTATCCCATACATATTGTTAAGTAAGAGTTAACAAGAATTGTACAAGTGACTGCTTAATCAGGCGTTAGCCTTACAAATCGGACAACGTACAGCATTCTGACTTGTAAGATATCCCACTGACCTGCCTTGGGCCAACGGAATAGTATCTTGACAAGAAGGTGGACAAAATGCTGCTACCGCACCAGTGGTTATTTGTCTGGTCATTTGACAGTGACGAAGTATCCATTTAATAAACCCATTTACATGTAGCACATTAAAGGTTGATATTTCAGTGCGTGATGGATTATGTTGGCACATAAAGTGAATATTTTAGTCACTAAAAGCGGTAAAAAATGTGAAACTTGTAAAGTGAAAATTTGTCCCAGTTTGAAAATCATTCTGTATCTGACGTTTATCAGAAGAACCGGATTATATTAGACTGTAACTAACCTAAACCCATGACAGCGGAAGATGATTGATTCTGTGTTTCCTAAGTACCGACAAAGTAAGCATAACTATCAGGAGATCTCTGAGTAGATTCGCGAAATTTGAAGACAACCTTATTTGCCAAATTGTCCACAAAGTTTGGCGTTTTAATCGGTACAGTCTCACCGGAAACCTTCAAAGAATATATGAAATGTAAAAATTGTATCGGCTTGGCTCATAGCTGCCTCCAAAATTTTACAGTATTTTCAGTTTGCAATAATATTTAAGGAGAATGCACTTGAAACACAACTAAATGGCAGCAATTCTGCATCACACTGTCTCGTGTGGATGAAACTTGGCCAGCGACCACGTAAATAGAGATTGCGAGTGTGACTAGCGACGGCAAATTCATATTATTGTAAGACACTAATTTGCAACTCAGGAATAACTAAATTCGTCGCTACGTTTTCTTCCATGTGTTCATTTTTCAGTGTAATTTATAGTTCTTCGTGCGCTAATATCCCCCATGGTTACGGTTAAATAGTGGATGTAAGAAGTAAGAGATTGTGTGCTGGTATCATGTAACATAGTGACAGGTACTATACGAATGCTGTGTCTGGAGGCGAATTAATTTATCCTCTGTATATATGCAATACAGTAAAGTGGTGCATCCCTCAGGAGGGACAAAAGAATTAAAAATTAAGTGACAGTCAGATACTAACTACTGTACAAGGTGGACAACGATGAATGATAAAACCTTCCCCTGCTTATGTGTCTGACGATATATGCCACTTGTGATAAAATTTTCCGAAAAAGAGTAGTAAAGCGCGCAACCATATGTATGTGTTATGCAAGTGTTATCTCATTCGACATACAACTAATACCACTCGCTACATTTCTGACACACACGTAGGAACTGCGGTACACTGTGGCATAGTAGCAAACTTTGGTTTCAGCTCAGCATGACAAATAAGCGGGGTCTTTAATGGAAGCTCCTGTGGAATATTTATTACAATACATACATCTCTTGAAGGGTCAAGGCTGGAAAACTGCATCCAGGGAGTCAGCCTTCTGTCTGAAAGGGGGTAATTCAATTAAAGAGGAGTTCAAAGAGCCACATCTAAGATTCCTAGTATGACCAGCGAATCACACGAGAGGTGATTTAATCACACCATTGATATAACAGATTCCTAGTTATTATGTTCAAAATTCTGAACCTGGTTTATCTTCTCCTTTACTTTCCAAGAGGTCGCAACACATCGCAGAGTTTAGGAGTCTGACTGACTCACTGCCGACAAATGCAGCCGAGCTATAGGATTACGTCTGCCGAACGACCTTTTTAAACCTACTCATGTTAGCTACTGTGAAAACTCTCGTTTGTCTTTAAATCGTAGATTTAAGTGTTTATATTACTCACCACTGAAATTTGACGTTTAACCTGATCAGTTAATCCTAAAATAAGCCTGTTGTTAACCTTAACTCTAAATACAATCTAATTTCACCCCTTTTCCTTGAAAGATTACTAAATATGATCAGAAGGATATTGTGAAGGCAGAACTCCAAGGCCATTTTGAAAATCAATGGCATTTACCATTTTTTGATTCAACTACGAATACACACAGTCAAGTTTACGGAAAAATGGTTGAATGATTGCGCTGAATCATTTTTGTTTATATATGGTGAATGCAGTTTAAACGACCTCAACCACCCGAGTGACGATTTTGAAAATTCGACTATGAGGTGTTTACTCGCTTTTGCCCTCTTGTTCTCAGTCATTAGTGCCAATCCTGGGTATAAAAAGTGGTCGGATCTCCAGCCATCCGTGTCATTAAGTCAACTGCTTGAACAGAAAAGTTTAAAAGATGGTGTGTTTAGCTCAGAAAATCTTGAGATGTTCACTAGTATTGATGCTGCTTGGAAAATATTTAAGGCACGGTTCAATCGAGCTTACAAAAACATCCAAGAAGAGGCAAAGCGATTTTTGATTTTTGGGGCAAACTTCATCGAAATGATGGAGCACAATCGGGCTCACCGGGAAGGTAAAGTATCATATGAAATGGGTGTTAACGAGTTTAGTGATAAGGTAAGTTGAATTTTCGTGATGAAAACACCTGCAGACGGAACATGAGCTTAGGAAACTAAGGGGCTACAAACCTCTGAAGGGACCCTCAAAACCCGAAGGCTCTACATATATTCGTTCGGAGCACACTATGCTGCCAAATAAAGTTGATTGGAGGAAGGAAGGGGCTGTAACGCCTATCAAAAACCAGGGCAATTGTGGTTCCTGCTGGGCATTCTCCTCAACTGGTGCTATCGAAGGTCAACACTACCGCAAGACTAAGAAATTAGTTAGTTTGTCTGAGCAGCAATTGGTAGACTGTAGCGGTCATTATGGAAATAATGGTTGTAACGGTGGTCTAATGAATTTTGCGTTTACTTATGTTAAAGATAATGAAGGCATTGATTCAGAAGTTAGCTATCCGTACATATCAGGTGCAACTGGAGAACAGAACGATAAATGTTTATTCAACTCATCGAATATTGCAGCTCAAGTCACAGGTTTCATAAATATAAGTCCAGGTGATGAATATGCATTGATGGATGCTGTCGCCACCAAAGGACCCGTATCAGTCGCCATTAATGCTGGTCTCCCTAGTTTTCCAAGATATAAGTCAGGTATGTAACATCTTTGCCTTACCGATAACTATTACTTCTCCGTGTGGTTTGTAGTTGTGTACACTTGAATTTTCGTTAGTAAGAGGTGGTTAGGACAATAAGTATCTGTCTTCATTCGAAGCAAATTCGTGCCTGCCATTAACAAAGACTATTGATCAGGATAATACTGGCGGTTATTTACAAAAACCGGAAATATTGAGCTGCCGTGAAGCCTACTTGTCGCGGTATTAATAGATCAAGAAAGAGCGTAATATGCTCTAGTAATATGTTTTAAGCAGTTTGAAATTAACTGATGTTGCTCGAGGTAGTTTAAATAGGGATAACTGTTTAACGCTTAGGTAATCAGCGGCTTGCCCAGGAACATAAGTCAGTTCGGGGTGATTTGTAAACTGATTTTATCGTGTTTCCATGCTGACGGACATTATTTACCTTACAAATCGTTTAACTGATCTGCAATAACTGATGACATCACTTACGTTGCCTGGTCATTTTGGGAACACAATTTCACAATGTCAGTTATTACAGAAACCGTTTATCTACCTTATAGCTTAATTTATTTAGGATTTGGTATGAACCTAATAGTAAAAGAGTAACAAGCTTTAGAATTAACTTTCATTTTTCATAGCGTCCAATATATATATATATATGTATATATATATATAGGAGATTAGGTATTCTGGATTGTTCACATGATATGTAATTATTCACAGCGATCTGTATAAGTTCGGACAAGAAGAGGATTTCAACCAACATTATCATGGCAATCGGAAATGGGCTCTTCAGAAACGGAGTACATACAGCGCAAAACTGAAGGACCTTATCCCTATAATCTGACATACTGTTACATAATATCCACTGACTACCTAGGTGATTTTCGATCTACGCATTAAATGTCTGTATACGAACCCCTAACCACTGTGTGGTATACAGTTCGTATCAAAGTGCAATAGGTTTCTAATTTTGTCAATATAATTGGAGGTAAATAAATTAAGAACGATGTTTAGAAGCTTGTCCTACCAAGCTGAGAAACATTTGACTTCAAATCTGATATGTATACAGAACACCGAAATCATGCTGCATTCATGTAAGTTTAGGGGATTAAAAGACACCAAGTGAACTACGTATTGTATGTCCAATATATCTGTTCATTTTTCTGTTGAAATAACCTGTGAACAATGTAGATGAACAGTGCGAAGCTGTTGCTTCAATTTATTATCGATATTCACCTGTTAAAAGTGTAATAAAAAATTGTCAAAGATAAATATTCATCGGTCGTTAGTTTCTCATCTCGTGCCATCCAACCTTATTTTTTGAAAGCATTGTTCTAAGTGAGTATGCCTTAATTTTTGTACTGTCATTCATACCTGTTTCTTTTCACTGTATAGACCTATTGTTCATGTTTAATATTTAATTGGTAAACAAGTATTAACTCTATAAAAACTGCGTTTACACTTTTTCCTATGGAAAAATCCTGAGTTGGTGGTTATCCTTCATTTTCTTAACCTAGGCGTTTACTCAGACCCTGAGTGTTTAGGCGAAGAAGATAATCTTGATCATGGCGTTCTCGTGGTCGGTTATGGAGAGGAGAACGGTCAACCTTACTGGCTAGTGAAGAATAGTTGGGGACCAGAATGGGGTGAAGGAGGATATATTAAAATACTAAGGAATAAGCATAATATGTGCGGTATCGCAACGGCGGCCTCCTATCCTCTCGTATGATTGCTTTCCAATAATATCTAAAACTTGCAGAATCTCATGCATCACACAAATTATTTTATTGAATCTCACTTTTTTAAAATTTTAAAATGAGTTTTTGTATATAATCAAACATTTCTCAGTCATAATTCACCTTTATTTATTTTTACTGATAATTTTATCCATATCATGCTATGATAATTTTCCAATCAATAAATATGATTATGACCAGCTATTTTGAGATTTTGTACAACTCTAGAGGAATCGCATAGCAGATTCGGAGAAACAGGTATCCATATTTCGCTTCCGCATATTAGCCATTTTTAAATAATACATATCGTGTGTAGGGCTTACTAAACTATATACGTTGGTACTGAAATGGATTCTTTAGTTATCTTTCCTGAGGACAGATAGTGCGAAAGATGGTGGCGTAAAGGATGTTAATCATAAAAAAAGAATTCAGTCAGCTGTTTACACCATATGCTTTTTAGAAGTGTACTCATCGTTAGGGTTGATGGTGTATCACTAATTCTACTGACAGTCTTCATATCCTTATGCAGTGAATAATAAGCTACTTTCAAGAGTCCAGGGAGCGGTTAGAAGGAAGAAAACATTGGAAAATGAAAGCAGGGAATAAGTTATGCAGAAAAGTCTCAGCTTATATAAAAAGTCAAGTGAAGAATTTTTCTTCAAAATCAGTAGAGCATTAGACGATTAAGACAGAAAAGAGTAACTATAGTAGATCACACTTGATACATATCCTGTAACTGAGTCATAAAATCAGCAGTCACAGACCTGAATACCTTAATTCGATTCTCTGTCTGTCTGTTTTCAACACAGAACCTTGCACGCATGTGCAGCAGTTCAAGTCGCCACACTCCATACAGCATACAAACCAAGAGAAGAAATTCAAAGTAGACAGGGATATGAGACAAAAGGAATAGTAATAACGAAGAGCAATATAGTTTCATTGGAAATTATAAGTCATGAGGAGTAGATACATTACGCCATCGAGAACGATTTTGAGCCATATCACCGATTGTCTCCAGTCATTGGTTTTTACCGTCTCGAGGACCTCAACCAGTGAGGAAGTCTACACCTCCCTATGTGGCTTAAACTGACTATTGTGGATTTCACTGACTGGTGCCATGTTTTGGTTTGACCGCCACTAGCTCTCTTCCAGCCTGACCCTATATCAGCTAACATTGCCCGTCGAGAAAGGCGATGACTAGGCATATGTAACACATGTCCTAACCATCTCAGTCGATGTAACTTCACAGCCTCATCGACTGATTTCCCTCTTTACCTAGCACTCGACACCTAACCTCAGTATTGCTCACCCTATCATACCACTTAACACGGGAGATAGAACGCAGGCTCCTATGATCAAAGACAGCTAATCTTTTCATGTCTTCCACTGTCAATGGCCAAGTCTCACAGTCATAACAGAGGACGGAGTGGACTGCTGAGTAGTACACACGTCCTTTGGTCGATAGACGGATATCACGTCTACGCCAGAGACGGCGTAAACTGGCATATGCGAAACGAGCCTTCTGCATCCGTGCTGAGATTTTGTCAGCGATCAACTTCCTAAATAAGTGAAGTGGTCAACAAGCTCTACCACTTTACACCCTATTTCAAAGCTAGGAATCAATGTAGTCCTGTAGTATCATCTTACATTTGGCGAGAGCGAATTTTATGGCAAACATTCGAGGATTGCAGCTCAAGGTGTTCAGAAGACTCTGCATTTCGTCAGCGTCTTCACTCAGATGGAAGGATTATATCATCTGCATATTCTAAGTCAACGAGATTATTCTCCGACAGTAACAAGTCAATCCCTCAGTCGCTGAAGTCAGTTAGGGTAAAGTCCATTAGAACATCTATGATGAAATTGAATAGAAATGGGGATAGTGGGCATCCCTGTTATTAACACCTTTTACAGCTGTATCTACAGCTAACTGTATGTTGTGCCAGGCTACCTCAGGGGAAGTCCTGCTGTCGACCTCAGATACAAGTTTCGTTATTTCCTCGTTAAATAGGGACTCAGTGTTTCGATCTGGTTGGGAACACAACTGTTTTGCTGCCAGCAATTTCTTATGTCCGTTTAGTCGTAAGCATAAACGTGCGCGAACCAGAGCGTGACCGGAGTCTACGCACGTGATTCAAAAGGAGCTACAGTCTTGTACTGACCCTCGCCGACGATACCCTATGGCTATGTGGTCTATCTGAGTGCAGGGGGCAACTGCGGTCATACATGGCCTGTATGAACTGGTTTCTATGATTGGTTCCGTATTGGTAAACTTACCGCCGGTTACGGACCACCGTAGGGTAAGTCGTAATGTACAATTGTTGGGGTCGACCTTTTCTAACCCTCTCTCTCCGGGGTGGAGAAACAGCATAGCTGGCATGCTGGTCATCTGAGGGAAACACCTTACTGCTGTTAGATCCCTGTACGACTTCGCCCACAGAACCCCAGCATAGTGTAAAAAGATTCTTACTCTAAGCCGGTAACTGCTTTTAGTCTAATTCGATTAGTTTTGGTCAAAACACAAGGCATTCACAAAGGGTATAAATTACCTCCTTGAGCCACCGGCTGAACATAACACTGGTGTAAAACATTTGCAGTATCCAAAATACCTCTTTGGGATTCTTAAACAAATTGATCCGAGTCAGCAAAAGTCCCAGTCGAGGTTCTTATACAACTACTAACATGTTTATTGATTTCAGGGAAAGAAAGTCAAAAGTGATCAATATAGATTTCACTTTTCTATCGAGAACATACAGACTCTGAATTATTAAAAGATGTTTTACATATCACTACTGTAAGTGGGATGACTTAGGTTATCAGTACATTCGCTAAACAGAAAAGCCTGCATCAAGCAGCGTGAAAGTCCTAATGCGTTGAGGTATCTTTATATATATTGCTGAATTCAAGAGAAATGCCTTCTGCTAGATTTGGAAACTTGTAATAATACTTGGAGGAGTGTGCATGAGCGATATTAACAGCAGGTTCCATTGGTAAGCTGACTTCTACTAGTAATTTCCCTAAAGTCTCCATATATGAGGGTGATTTTCAGTTTCGCATGAAGTTTATATATCTTATTTCAGAATTAATCACTCAGACTGTTAAATGCCAGTATTATCATCCATTTTTTATGATGTTTTCTCTCAGTTATCTCTGAAGGTGAGGAGAAAAAATTCAACGGAGTCGTAAAAAAGTGCTTCACTTTTACGAGAAATGCTAGGGCTAAGGTTTTGGAAATATATGATATATTTAACACTCTCATCCAACACAACAATTACAAATATGCCCAATTATGCATTTTGCCACTTCCTTCTGAGTATAAGTATGTTGCGAGTATAGTTTCTGTGTATAGGTTCCTTAGGTTAATGTAGAGGCGTGATTCTGTTCAATTCCTGGCATACTTTGGACAGAACAAATCAGACGACAAATTCCTTAAGTGAGTCAGAACCAAGTTTGACACCATATAAACTAAGACCACGAAGGATTTCTTGGCTGGTTGTGAGCTGGATACACTTCACCAATACAAAGTAAGACTAAATTCCATTGGAATTTAACGGTAGCCGTAATATCCCACTATTAAGCCTTCAGAAAGTAAATGCACTTGGTAGACTGTCTTTTCAGAGAAATACATTAAAATACAATCTGTTGAATAATGGAAACAACAGATGCAGTTAGTTTCAGGCATTCCTCTATATATTGGTTCTATTTTTTTTATTTATTTTTATTTACAGCTTGATTCCACACCGTATTTTCAGTACAAGTGTGGAATTTTCAGCATGGATATCGGTAGCCCGAATTCAGGCCGACCATAGATATCGGGTGTGCGCCGGCAGGGGATCGAACCCCGGACCATGTGCATGGTCGGCGAGAGTCCTAACCACTGTGCCACCGACGCATGATCTCCCGGTTAGTGTGATAGCATCCTCTACCAGAGACGGAACGAGTCTGGTCTCAATGCGTTTGTTATTCACTAGCTCCAATTAAGCTTATTGTAATTATGCACTCTAGAATGTTATTTTGTCTAAGTTAACTCCATTATGGTTGTCACAAGATAGGTACAAAGAATCATTGAAACCAGTCAAGGAGAAGTACACGCGACTCCCCATACCTCAATCCACAATATATCATCCATCTTAGTGGTATATCTTCAACTCAATTTCGTTATTTCTAAGTACACAAGTAGTCATATATATCGTAGACAGTAACACCACAGATACTGTCATCAAATAAGCATCGGGTATGACTCAGGAAAATACAAATGACTAACTAAGAATGATATAACAGTATAATGTCTATTCAGTCTTCAGTTAATGTAAAGCAGTATGATTCACAATTTCATACCTTATTTTATTTATTCGGAATAAAATATCATGAAGTCGGACTTATTCTCTTTCTTTATTCAATAGGCTATAAACTGTTCTATCATTTAGTGAATAATGTCGATTTATTAAAGGCACTGGTAAATAGTTATCTCCTACGTAAATACAATATACGTTCACATGACTATATGGTTACTTTATTGATTGGCAGAATAACTAATGAATACAAGGTTGGATTTAGTACATAAATAGTGCATATATAGTCATTGAAAAGTACACTGAATTAGGTATAGTCACGTCATGATTACTTCTGAAAATAAATGATCTTGACGATATTTATTCAATACAACTTCAGTAGTTTCTGAAAACAATGTGACAATAAATAACTGCTATTTCACTGGAAGATTTTAGGTAAATCCACTTGGAAAATGCTACAGGGATTAGGTTGTCATTTATACTCACAATCTCATTTAGATTTAAATGTTTTCAT